CACACACGCTCAGCAGGACCCCAGAGCCCCAGGCTGTCCCTTGCTCATGCAAACACCCACCTCCGCATGGAGTCTGAGGCCTTGCCTTGAAATGCATGGTGGGAGTCCCGCCTCCCTGCGGCTGCCCAAGCTCTCCTGTCCATCCCTGGCCCTCCTGTCCATCCCTGGCCTCGTCTCCCCGCCCCCTCTCCCGCTACCATCTCGGCCCCTCTTCTCTTTCTACTCCTTCCCGTCTCTCCTGTTTGTCTGAGTCTGTCTGCCTGCTCCTTGTCTTCTCTCTGTCCACCATGGCTGTTTGGTTTGCTCTGTGCTGCTGCGGCTGCGGACCTGCTCCTCAACCTCTTCTCCTTCTCTGTGCAGATGTCTAGGCACGCTAAGGCCGGATGGGAAGGCCATGTGACCTAATGTTTCATGTCACTGCCACGCCTTCCCGGGGGCGCAGAAGGTGAGCTCTCCCCGGCCTCGCCCACTCCCCCTGCGCCCTCAGCCCAGCTCCTCGCCCTGCCAGGACAGCTCCTGACAAGCCCCCTCCCTTATAGGGGACAGGGCACTCTCAGAACTTGGCCAGGACACTTGAAGGTGCCCAAGAGCCCCAGCCTCAGGCTGGCCTCCTGAGCCTCCACCCTGCTCCCTGGGCAGAGAGCGACCCACAGCCAAAGAGGAGCTTGTAGGCTCGGCCCCCTTCCCTGGGCCCTGAGTCAGAGCCCACACTCCTGGCAGCACAGCCCTGGCTCTGCCTCTTGCCGGTCCCTTCAGTGTCCCAGACCCCCTCGCTCCTCTGCACCGGCAAGGCCATCCTGGTGAGTCTAGCCAAAATCAGGGCAGGGAAAGGTCTGAAGGCCAGAGGCTCAGAGCCCCTCCTGATCCTTGTCCGCTAGGCCTGCCGTGGATGGTTGTGCAGGTTACGTACCACACGGCAGACATCACGGACAGGGATGCTACCGAAAGTCACCTGTAGATGGCAGTAAGAATGCCTGGTGACAAAATCAGTGTGACGTCTCATCAGCAGACGTTCCGTGAGGAAGAGGTACTTTTTAAAAGGACGATAGCCGGCTAGCAGCAGCCCTATTCCCGGCCTGGGTGGGTACTCCCAAGACCCTCCTCACCATCTTTCTAGGGCCGCTGGTTAAAGGCAGGGAGAGTAACTCCCTCTCACGGGGCTGTGGTGCTCCGGGCCACCCTCACGGCTGCTTCTGGACCTCCCTACCCCAGCTGCAGCGCCCTCTCCACCTCCTCTGCCCCCTCACCCCCACCTCTCAGGCAGCACCTACCTTCTTGCCTCGCTGACCCCTGGTGGTCTCAGAGCCACTGCCACAGCCCCACACAGGCTCTCTCCAGCTTCCTCGCTCCTCTCCTCGTTCTTCCCCTCTGCTTCAGGGGCTCCGTCCTGGGCTCCCTGCCCACTGACACTGGCGTGCCTGTTTCTGAAGCGCCCCCCCCCCACCGCCCCTCTGTCCTGGTGGATGGCAGTGCTCAGAAGAGAGTGTATCTGTGTGCGCGTGTGCGACAGCCTGCTCCCCACAGATCTCCTCCCGCCTCCTCCGTGCCCCTTTCCCCTCATCCCTGTTGCAACCATTTCATGCTCCTTCGGTCCCCACCCCAGGACAAGGTCATGTGACGGGAAACCAGCTGGGTTTGGGGGGTG